TTATTATTATTATTATTATTATTATTATTATTATTATTACTATTATTATTATTATTATTATTATTATTATTATTATTATTATTATTATTATTATTATTATTGCTATGCTTCCCCGACCGGGGGGGGGGCATGTAGACCTACACACACATGTCATTACTGATCAATTTTTAGTAACCCGTTAGTGAAATAATTAGGGCCTTCAAGGAAATACTCTACTCTCTCATGACTCAAGTTACGGCATCACTGTTTTTATAGTTTTAATACAACCAATTTCTTCTAATTTTAAATACATTTTACCCTGAATTTGTGATAAATCGTTATTACGCATTGACTTGTGTTAAATGCGTGACAAATTTAGGATCACGCATGTGTTTCTGCAAAATGCGTGTTTCATCCAAAATCACTTTGAAATGCGGGACCGTCCCGCACGATGTGAGACGGTTGGTAACTATGGTAATGATGAAGATTGTAATGATGTTGGCAAGGAGTTTAGATAGAGATGTGACACTAATTATAGCTGCGAAGTTGGGAGATGTTGCTGGCTTGCCACTCGGCCCCATCATGGCTGGGGCTGAGGTTCGAAATTTGTATTGTTAATACATCTATTTTTCTGGAGTGGCACTCTCAGAAAACAGTGTCTTAATTAAAAAAAAAAACCTGAGCCATCACAAGAAGATTTTGGGTATAACATATGCTGACATCAAGTGAGCTCATAAATCATAAATGACACACTAATCATTGTCGTTTTAGAGGCCACACTATTTTTGTAGTTAATTATTGGAAAAAGTATAAGACTTCAAAAGGGAACTTGAGATTGGGTCTAAAAGCGTGAGCCTCACTAGATACGGGTGACGTGCTCGATTAAACCAATGGCCCGCAAAGGGCCCCAGTCAGGGGGACAAAAGGACCGGGAAAAAAAATCAGCGGTAATATATTCGTTACATTAGAGATTAGAAAGGACAATTTTGGTTACCAACATTTATTTGTAACTTATAATTATTGGCCAGGCTTGACCTGACTGGTCTAAGATGGGAAACCGTAAGTTTCCTAATCAGCAGAGTGATACAGATTTGGGTGGGCACTTCCATTTAGTTTGTGGAACTAAGATCACTATTCTCGCTGTCTGGTGATTTTTGTCCAACATGATGATATCCGTTTGACGAACTTTCACAACTAGGCATAGGAATATGTTTAACTGTTAATTAATGTGTATACCATTTTAAATCATACTATAGTCTTACAGTATTATAAAAATTGCAAACCATGATATTATCTTTTTAAAATAATTTCTAGTCATATGCATTGTTTTATTTATTGTATTTTTTTGTTATAGGGGCGGGTCCCCTGACCTCGGGGACCCTTAAACATCGGGGGTCCAGGTTCGCCTAACAGCCTGAACCTGCGGTAGACGCCACTGTCGGTAACTCTTAAGAGTATCGCATTGGTTATTATTATAGTTAGTTATTTCTATAGATTAATTTCTAGGGTGGGGTACTATTAGGCGGAGCCACCACCAATAGAATAATGGGTTTTTATTAGAAGTTTTGCTGCATATATAAAGTAGCTCTTTTATTAAGATATTGCATTATAAATAAATTATATAGAGACAGAACCACAGTTACCATACGAATAGTCATTTATTGACATTTTGATTTCAACTTATTATGAAGACCATTCTTTCCTTAGGACACCAGTATTACATCATTCAAAGTAGTAGAGTGGATATTATATAAGGTGTAACCATATAGACCACCTACAGTATATACTGTTAGTGTTTACGTTAATAATAGCATGCGCTACTGCATTACGATCGTTAAAGTTGCATCTGCAGCCAATAAGGCTTGCGTCGGGTTAGTGAATATAATATGCTCACTACTTATGTTTCAGTATCATAGGCCTAAAATGAGTAGGTATTGCCCTTCAAAGTGAAAACAAATTTGATTCTAGGCCTACTCATGTAATTTGCATGATCTGAATCAAAACAAACATCTTAAACTCAAGGTCAGCTTTTCTAAGGAGGTGCACTTCCTTGGATCTTCTAGGCCTACTTTATCTTCTTGACTTACTGGTGTGGACATGCCTCATCTGATACAGTAACATGCACATTGAGCTAAGCTTAATTAAAGTATTGTTAGACAACAATGTAATGGATTGTACTCCTCTCTGGTATTCAAAACTAGTAGCACATGTGAGGACAATAAGACATTAATAGACCTACACACAATACCTGTATTTAAACAACGATTCATAGACCATCCGTCAAGCAGAACCGACAATTTTAAACACATAATGTTTTTATAATAAGGGAGTCCTTTATTATCGGTTTGTGGAGCTCAGTTGCTTGTTCTTCAGTCGTGAGAAATGTTTCGACCGACGATGTGAGCGTAGTCCTTAGTAATTCTATTCAAAAAATCTACAGAAACTCTACAGATAATACCTTTTTATTTAGAATTGATTGAATATTGAGCCTATAGTAGACATAATTAAAAATCTGTTTTTCAAATAGTACACTTAATAGATCTATAGATTTATTAATCTATAGAAGTCTATTTATAAGTCTATAGAAGTCTATAACGCCACTATTTGGCGTTATAGACTTCTTATAAAAATATGTAAAAAAGTGACTTCTTATAAAAAGTGAAGAAGTAGGCCTATCACCTCCAATATTAACTAAATATTCATATTGAATAATCACCCTTACCTTAACCGAAATATAATGTTATATATGACAACGTTTACGTTACCGATATATGAGGAAATTGTTGTTAAGATTGTGGCTGCAATAATTTGACTAAATAAAAAAAAAAACAATAAGATATTGGAAAAGTTTAGTACAGAAAAGAAATAGAGCGAGATAGGTCCAGATTGCTACATCTATGATTTCCATTTTCATATACAAATCATGATGCGTTGTCACAACATACAATAGTGCTTTAAATCTGGAAAAAAAAAATTGATTATTGTTAGAGGTTAGATAGAAAATAGTTCAATCATCAAATGTTACTGTTTACAAATTGTATTACATGGAGTATTATGCAGATAGTAATTTTACTCCTCTACTGTTGTTGTACAGGTATGTATTGCATCAAAAATGAGCTGGCTTTCGGTAACGACAGCTGAACAAAATGTCCAATACCAATTTACTTTATTGACGGCACAAATTAATTTTGTAAGATAGATAGGCCTAATTGCCGACAATCAATCAATCCTTATATTGCAACAGTAGTAGAATTGTACAAAATTAAAAAGACTATGAATAAAAAGGCAGATCAAAACAATAACCTAAAGGTTACAAAAATAAAACCATACAAAAAAAGAAATAAAAATAATTAATTTACAGATTTTACCACATTAACAATCATAATAATTAATTACTTAGAAAAAAGACAGTAAGCCAATGTATATTGCACATACGTACTTTGAGACATTCATCTCCATCGTCTATAAATAGTATTTCCAGTGCCTGTTCTTGCTGTATTCGGTAATGTAATCGTACCATACAAAATTATACTCCAACTATGCAGATGGCCTGAGAAATAGTAAAAGTGAATTATGATAACAATTAAGTTGTCATCAACAACCTCTACATTCATTATCGTTATTTGCATTGATATACGATTATATTGTTTCGGATGGCCTTAAATTGTGTTTTTAGACCACAATATTTAGGATCGGCAATCACAACAACTTCGTTTGGGATTGGCAAATTAATATATTTAGTCCGTCGACCTCGTTGTGGCGTTGACGACGAGGGTCCCTGCGTGACCGGGGGCGGGCGGGGGGAGGGGTGGTAATTAACCTCGTGACCTGGTACACTGAGGGCGCCGCCACTGACTCTTTACCTGAAATAGATGAAGAAAAGAAATATCTATGCTGGTCCTCAATTTTTAATCTCCACGTTCCAAATGCACTTTCTCCCCAGCTATGTGTAGTCATGAATGGCCAGTCCTGGAACGACTTGCCAAAATCTCTTGGCCTTCGTGACAGAAGGTTGGACCGTGTACCAGAGGGAGAGGTTAGTGTGATGGTCAATTGTCCACGCCGCCTATGATAGAGATTTATCTTCACTTGAACATGTTCTAAATAGCGGACGGCGTTCTTCGTCCCAATACATCCATTAGAGCGTATCTGTAGATACAGACTATCTCCACTAGTGATGTTTCTAATAAACAGAAATATCAAAAGAGACAAAAAAAAAAAAATACATCAAAATTTGAAGATTTAAAAGCGGGGAAAACAAAATATTAGGACAGGCTGATTGGGTCTATTTTACAGAAACTAAAGACAAATATACAATGGTGGAGGCCTGGTGTAATTAGGCCTATTGTGCATTGAATTGTGCGCCCACGCTTTGGAGTTGAATATTGTTCAGCAATAATCAAATACATTTTCCCACGCAAGCTCATCGCATTATTGAGAATTAGCACTCCTCTTTTTATGATGCACTTTTCAACGTTTTTAAAAAGCTATTTTCTATATTTGTAGAAATCTCCCAGTTAAGTACTGATTACAAGAAATCACACTTACTGCGGCATACCAGATGCACTAATAACACAGACATGTTGCTCGGGCAATGGTTGCCATTCCTCGGCTAAACTCACTATCGCATTAGCATCCATTAAACCAAATCCAAATTTGTGCGACACTGACGAAAAAATATCAGGGTTATTTAGAATCGAAATATCAGATACGAAAAGAATCCAGCAGTAACGTCTGATAAAAAAAAAAGTCTGATAAAAAAAAAAATTTAAAAAAATGCATAAACAAGTAAACGGATAACGATAGGTCTTTATTAAAATGTAATATAGATTATTGCACAAACTGGTACTTTAATCATAAAATTATATAAATGGACAGTAGAAGCAGACGCTTCGGTTTTAAAGGTGACGCACGGAGAAGCGCAACTGAATCCATACTGAATTTGGATTAACCAACCTCTAGGTTAAAATTTAGTTACCGTAATAACCAGCTCCATTTTTATGCCACACATCGTGGAGATTTGCTCGCCTCGACGTTTTCACAATTATGTATTGCATATCTCTCCAAGACAACGAAGGACTAAAGGTAAAATGAAATTTTCAAAAATCATTAGAGAAATTAAATACAAAAAATACACTATGATTGTTAATTCAGATATTCTATAATTTTAACTGTTCAGTTAAAGCACGAAAAGAGTAGGGATAAAAAGTTACTATACTTTGATGATTTAAAATTATTGTTCATTGTCCTATCAAAATAACCTCATTATCTGTGTTTATCAATTTGATCAAAACTGAGGTCTCACTTTGCTTCGAGAGCGAGGGCACATATTCCTGCAGCCATTGGTGCAGATGCTGATGTTCCTGTATGTTTGTAGAAATCTCCCAGTTAAGTACTGATTACAAGAAATCACACTTACTGCGGCATACCAGATGCACTAATAACACAGACATGTTGCTCGGGTAATGGTTGCCATTCCTCGGCTAAACTCACTATCGCATTAGCATCCATTAAACCAAATCCAAATTTGTGCGACACTGACGAAAAAAATCAGGGTTATTTAGAATCGAAATATCAGATACGAAAGAATCCAGTCAAAACGTCTGATAAAAAAAAAACGTCTGATAAAAAAAAAAAAAGAAAAAATGCATAAACAAATAAACGGATAAAGATAGGTCTTTATTAAAATGTAATATAGATTATTGCACAAACTGGTACTTTAATCATAAAGTTATATAAATGGACAGTAGAAGCAAACGCTTCGGTTTTAAAGGTGACGCACGGAGAAGCCCAACTGAATCCATACTGAATTTGGAATAACCAACCTCTAGGTTAAAATTTAGTTACCGTAATAACCAGCTCCATTTTTATGCCACACATCGTGGAGATTTGCTCGCCTCGACGTTTTCACAATTATGTATTGCATATCTCTCCAAGACAACGAAGGACTAAAGGTAAAATGAAATTTTCAAAAATCATTAGAGAAATTAAATACAAAAAATACACTATGATTGTTAATTCAGATATTCTATAATTTTAACTGTTCAGTTAAAGCACGAAAAGAGTAGGGATAAAAAGTTACTATACTTTGATGATTTAAAATTATTGTTCATTGTCCTATCAAAATAACCTCATTATCTGTGTTTATCAATTTGATCAAAACTGAGGTCTCACTTTGCTTCGAGAGCGAGGGCACATATTCCTGCAGCCATTGGTGCAGATGCTGATGTTCCTGTATGTATGCTGCTGCATCCTTCATTCAAATCCGTTGTAATCTAAGGCAATGATAAAGTTAACTACCGTAAGTATCAGAAACGAGTAATTGCGATGATAAATAAAAAATGGAAAATGTAAAACATGAAAGGAGGAGAATAAAAATGTAATGAACAAAAAAAACCCCCCAAAAAACAACCCGAGTGGACGCTAATTATACTTTTGTAGTTATGATGATGGATGTAGTGGTAGAAAACGACAATGGTTATGATTATGAGTGACCATATGATGATGATGGTGATGGTAATAATGATGGTGATGATGATGATGCATGATGATGATGATGCTCTGTGCAATAGAATAGGCACGTATTTTATGTACTTGCAATTTTTTTCATGTGTGTTCTAATCTGATTTAATTTATTGTTCTTATATTAACTAACTGTTGCCTGATTTTTCACTATAGTTTATGGCGAGTTTCCTACTTGGTGCTGTTGATGCGAGGGACAGTGTATCGATTACCACTCATCATTGTTCCGAAAAGTTGAGAAACAAATAAAAAGTTTTACCACTGCTTTGCCGTTGGTGGCGGCACTGTAAGTTGTGGCCATTACTGATGGACACGATTCTGCATATGCGGGCAAGTATCCTGTCATGCTCGCACTAGTTACGGCCAATGTGTAAATGCTCGTCACGTATCCGTCGCAGCTACAATGATCTGTCACTTGGCCACCATTTCCTGACGCCCACACAAAAATAGATCCTAGACCGTCCCTTCCCTATGAAGATTATAACATTGTAGAACATTGAAAAGAAAAACAATTATCTACGTGTCTATTTAATGTACATATACTTGACCACTCTCGATACCCATTCTGTGTTACTCTTGAACAATATAAACCTTATTTTTCGTGACTGAAAATATTATGTGTAATGTTTTCTTCAACAGAATTTGCTACTACTACTACTACTTAACTGCTGCTGATGCTGCTGCTAATAATAATAATAATAATAATCATCATAATAATAATAAATAATAATAAATAATAATAATAATAATAATAATAATAATAATAATAATAATTAACAATAATAATAATAATAATAATAATAATAATAATAATAATAATAATAATAATAATACATTTGTTTTTACAGTACTTCATGCTTGATAATTACGGCACATACCAACTTTGCGCCATCTTCGAGAGCCTTTTTCGCTAATATTCCTGGTCCGTCAACAGTAATTCCGTCATCATCCGGCCCCCAGCTGATGCTGTATATACTGATAAAATTTCTGTTGTAACTCAAAGAAGCTGCCTCCATCATGTCCGAGGCTGAATCGCCAAGCATCCGGATACCTTGCGTTAGAAAACACAAAGAAAATAAATTCAAATAAAATGAAATCTTCGTGACTAATTAAGGAAAATCGCTCCTTTAACTGGATGTACAGCCTAACCAACATGGCCCAGCAATTGCTACAGCAGAACTTAACTACTGAAAGATATGAACGATCCTAAAGTACTGTTTCAGCACCTATCACCGTAGACCGCAGTCGAAGATATCGGGTATAAATCAAGTTATGAGCACTGTTCATCCTTCACATTAAGTTCTTTTCTATTAAAAAATATAACAGAAACTGAGGTTTAATATTATCAATCGGTACCGAGTTGTAATGTACAAAGAGCAAATAAACATTCTAAAATTATTCTGTACAGTGGCCTATACGCAGTTGAAAATTATTCACCTCCAATTTTCGAGTTGAAAGCAATGCCAACACCACATATGCTATTATTTGCTTGCATCGCCACCTCTCCGGCGCACCTGGTTCCGTGGCTGCAATATATATATAGAATGAATAATAAAAGCAATAGTAATAATGATGATGATGATCGACGATGGTGGTGTGATAATGATAATAATGGTGATGCAGATAAGAAAGCTGATTGTGACATATAGACCTAGTGTACTGTATTTAGTGTAAGGTTCTTTTTCGATGACCCAATAATAAGTAAACGGAAGAATTTTTTTTTTATTCATCTTCAAAAAACATGACAAAGACATTCAAGGCAAAAAGAAAAGAACAGTAAAACATTAGTCATTCCTTATTTATAACATTATCATTTCATTATTAAAAATCATTTTTTCTCTTGTAAATACCATTCTAAATCTGTGGAAGTACCTTATTTTAATTTAACGTTAAACACAATAGTAGTAGGTATAACCTCATTTACCTTAAACAGAAAAACATTAGAAATGAGTATACAAGGTAGAGGTACGTCCGATTATTTGCACACTTTCAGTTAAAATTCAAGCCCATAAAAATGTTTAATTTATAGCAAGTTAGAATCTAAACACACAATCCACAAAAGATACAAAATATTTTCAGTGTTGCTCCCGCAAAAAGTATCCTCAGATGAGCTATGAAGCATATGCAAAAAACCAGACAAACCGTAAATGGGAAGGAGTACAGTATATGGAATTAAATTATTATTCTGAAAGAATTCAGAAAAGCTTTCTTTTGACTAACAATACAGGGCCATTTTGGGGGGTGGGGGGTGTAGCCATATAAATTTGAAGCCAATTTATTTTCAGGAGTAATCTAAAAGTAAACACGTATTAACAGGAAAACAGATATAACCCTTTTCCCTGTAACTTATTTTTGTTTGGTTTTTTGGCAGTAATATGATTTTTTAAACAGACTTTCAATTTTATCAACAAATTTGCAAATCGTAGCATTTTAAACCGGAAACACTAATCCGGAGATATTACAACACATGATTTATACAATCCCATCTCTCCTTAAATTTTGATAAATTTTGTTTTCTTTTGTAAATAAGATTTTCTATTTTGTGGAAATATCTCATTTTATTAAACGGAAGAATAGTTACGGAATTGACATCCATAAGTTAACACCATTCTTACGTTTACTTGGCATTTGAATCATCAAACAGGATGCTTATACTAACTTGCTATCGCATCCAATTGATTTAATACTATTATACTGTACCGTACTATTTATTATTATGATTATGGTGATAATAACGATAATAATAATGATGATAATGATTATGATGATGATAATGATGTAATGTTTATATCAGGGAAGTTGTATTTTTTATGTTTTGAATGATGTATGAAATGATCGACGAGTAAAATTCAGTTTTGTAAACTTACTTGTTGGAGTTCCTAGTTGTGTATTTTGGAAGTGGATCATTATCCCAATCAATAAAATCATAGCTTGCCAATGGTTCCTACAAACGATTAGAAATTAAAATTGATTACAAATACCAAATAAAACAAATACAAAAGGGTGCAAAAATACGGAGAAACCGAGTGATTACTGAATTACTTAACGTCATACTTCAATGCTATACAGTGTAGACCTACAGACAGAAATCGCTAAATGTTTTAAGAACTTTTCCAGAAAAAAATTGGTATTAGGCCTGTCTATTTCACAAAAAAAATGCAGCCAATTAAGAATCCCCTTATTATAGCAGGAAAACCACAGTTATGAGGTAGATTACGTTCTCCTGTCGTGAACGGGTACCATAAGAATTACTAAATAAATAGACGAACAACTTACAAAGTTTGCGATCAAATCAGGGTGGTTCCGTTCAATACCGTCATCGATGACTGTAACCACAATTCCTTTGCCCGTGTAGCCTTGTTGCCAAGCTTCGACTACGCGGTGATCAGATCCACTGCTGCTGTTCTTTATGAAAGTAATGCCATATAATCAATCAAACAATAAATTAATTAATTAATAATTATCAATGAATTAATCAATTGATCATTAAATGAATAAACCAAACAAATACCAATCAACAAACTAATCGATCAATCAACCAACCGATTAATCAATTAATCATATTAATCGATTCACAAATAACGAATCAATCAACGAATCAATCAATTCAATCAACGAATTCATTCATAAATCGACCAATTCAGTCTATAGAATATAGGCTATCGTACCGTTTAGAATAATATTAGATTTTATGAAGATTAGGCTGTATATGAAAGTGCTTCGACCATATTATTGTTGGTCGCTATACAATTATAAAATTGTTATTTATAGGCCTACTAGACTTATACAAAGTCCACAATGTTTTATATACCTATGTGGGTACACGTAGACTTTACGCAGAAGGATGTGCCTATTAAAATGCAGTAAGAATTCATTTTATCATATCAATATCCTCTTTGACATGAACTCGAAAATTTGCGTGAGGTGTTACAAAATAAGTACACAAATTTAAGAAAGCACGTATTAGACACGACCTTTACATCCCTCCAATGATAAAATCCCTAGTTTTCGACACCTAACAATATACAGTGAAACATGCATCTGCATTTGATTTAGGTACATACTGCCAAAATCACTCTCGGATTTGTATGTATAAAGTTTAAATAAACAATTCGAAAAAGACACCAAATTAAAAAAACACAAGTCCAATGGGTTAGCCTACACAATCTGTGTTACTGAACATTTTAATGTAAACATTTTATCTGGTTATCCGTTAGGTGTACTTGAACTCTGAAGTGGTTTCTTAATCTTAACATTGTTTATCAAACATTCATTGAGTGAATGAAACCAGTGTGGAAACAAGCAATTTAATTAATGAACAAATCATTATAGGCATGAGGTAATATACTGAACCAAATGCCAGCATACCCGTGATCAATGCGATCGCGATTTACGCGTAGCGAAAAGTGTTAAAATTTAAGACTATACATTCAGATCTGAGATATAGGCCTACGCCAGGCGTATACCATCGAGCGTACGTTAATCCAATGTGTAAAGCCGGGCACTCACGTACGACGAATTAAACTCCACTCTGTGAGCGCTAGACGGTACGACGTCGTCTGTTGATTGTCGGTGGCAGTCTGAGCTGATCGTCATGAAAACTGATCCGCTGCACGCGCGTTGTGGCGTTGTGTTCTCCATAGAATCGAGTCGGCCGACGAACGTCGGGTCGCAGTGAGTGCCCGCGGCTTAAATGGCTAGATGTCCAGACTAGGCGTTAACGTAATGCTAGCATAACTAGAGTCTGAACATAGCCAAAGTCGTACCGGTACGGTAATTCTTACAAAGTATCGTAATCGGGATCACCGATTAGTTGCGCTTCTCTGTTGGAACGCAGCAATGTCTGTCTCTTATACACATCTAGATGTGTATAAGAGACAGAAACGGACATATGAATTTGCTGTTCGAACCATTTCACCTTAGAATTAAGAAAAAAAAAATGATCACAATTAACCGTTATTGGATATGGATATATGGTGGGATATTTGTAGTGCGCCTTCCACAATAAAATCGTCTCAAGGCGCCGAAGGTAGGACCATAAAGTATAAAAAATAGAGTTATATTATATCTTAAATTAATTAGCCTATAGTAATCAGAATATTTTTCTTTTATATTTGTTATAAGTTAAATAAATAACAATAAATTAATTAATTAATAAGTAAACAAATATAAAATTACATAAAAAATAAATATATAAATAAATAAAAATAAGTAAAAAAAAGAAGTCTTCAAAAACAGGCAGACCAGGGAAGGAAAAAAACCAAGCTGCAGCACGAAAAAGCGCACTCCTGTTGTTGAGACGGCGACACCACCACTACCGCGTACACGCAATGTAATGCTGTGTTTACGGTGACAAAGGCATGAATTGATGTCGTTATAATATGTCGTACAGAGGTTAATACATTCTAGCAGGCCTAGAGACTAAAACGGAAAAATGAAAATCTAATTTATATTTCTTACTTAAATTATTGGTTTTATAACAATTATTATTAATAATAATAATAATAATAACAACAACAACAACAACAACAATAACAATAACAATAATAAGAATAATAATAAGAATAATAATGATAATAATAATAATAATACTAATAATAATAATAATAATAATAATAATAATAATAATAATAATAATAATAATAATAATAACAATAATAGTAACGGCAAACCAGCACAAAGTGCAACTTTCTCTTGTCTCTGAGGAGTAGGCCGCGGCGCACGCTAGTAGGCCCTACCGTCAATGCCACAAAACCATTTATATGCCTGCTCCTGGGAAAACTTGACTAAGGACACAAGCGACTTGCACAGCGAGACTTTCGTTTCGAGCCCCCACCCCCAGGAGAACCAGAACCTTAAGGTTGGGAGTCCAAGCCACAACTGATGCGCCAACCGCTTCAATCCTACGTTTTCATTAAAAAATTTAAACGAGAAAATGGCTTTTCTCCTAGAATAGGTCTACGGGTTTCCAACATTGGCTGCTAAATTTATAGAACTTTCGTATTTGATATTTCTTTAGAGTACTAAATTGTATATTTCTATTTCTATCTATATAATAAATGTAATAGCATTATACAATGACAGTCATCGCAGTGTTACATGTAACTTACTCGAGTCTTGGTGTGTGACGTTTTAATTATGGCTTCTGATCAAAGGTTGATACCTTGTACGTGGATACATTTTATGTCATCAGTCACTCCATATGAAGACGTTTTTATGATAGTCATGAATCATTCAAAATACGAATGTTATAATATGCAGTTTATTACATAACGAGTGTAAATGTTTTGACGTTTCTTACATGTGTTTGTTAATATTGTAGCAGTTTTCCTATCAATCAAATTGTAGATATAGTGTTCTTGTATCTTAAAGGTTATTTCAGGCAATTTATTTTTTACTTTAGCAAAATGAAACGTCAACGAAAACCCCAAGAGCTGTTCATTTTACTAATTATCACTTCATTTTAAAAAGATCCAGAAAGCATTTAACAATAACGCAGATGAAGCCACTTCCATCCTCTATCAGGATTCAACTACGGCTTATTAGATAACCCCCCGGCCCCATAAATCCATACTTTGTAATAGTGTAGGCCTACACATCGGTCTCACATAAAAGTATGCACAGCTAGACATTATAAGACATGTTGACAAGAAAATCGTGTGAGAATCACGGTGTTTTCGACGACTATATCCGCTCACGGCTAAAATTCCAGACGATGCCATCCCAGGAGATAGAAACACTCTCTTGCTTTGCAGGTATAATGACTGTGGGTGTTTAATCTATTATTTCAGGTGTTTAACAAAATAAACTACTCAAATAATAACACAAGTCAGAGATTTATTTCTACGTCAAAGTACATATAACCTAGAAGCATAATAGGCCTATATACATTTATTGTGGCGATGAAAATATGTTACCTCTATAAACAATACTGTACCCTGGAACAAATTAACCAATGAGGTTGCGAGCTTCCCTCGGTACCTTGACATCTTGGACACCTTGCAAGTTATTATTTTTATTTTCTTGCGTCAGCTAAGACACCACCTTGATACCACAAAACAATCATAGGCATAAACAAATATTATAGGACTGAATCTATATATAATTATGCTTATTTCAAAGCCTACAATCACAGTAGTATAACCCAGTCGTCAGATAACGTCTAGGATACGAAACCTACCGGTCTGGAAAACTGTAACAACATAGGTCATCAAAGTCTCCACCTAACGAAGTGAATAAAATTCCATATTTCAGCTTAATTGAGGGAAAAACAATGTCTTCAACTGTCCTTATTTACTGGATCTTTAGCTTTTAATTAGCACATTGCATTGTTTACGCTGTCACACATTTAGATTCCTGAGGTTGAATCACTAGAAGGCTATGTAAAAAATAAGTTGTAGATCATCCCCTCCCTCTATTTTTACTAAAACTCACGAATATATCGTCTTTCCGCTCATAATTCAACTTCGACTAGGCCTATGTCTTTTTGTGTAATTATTATCTTTCATGTGTTTGTTCGTACAGGGAGTTGTTGGAGAGTATACATTCCACCTTATCAAACACTACACTGGAAGATCCTTCAAGTTTAAATTATCAACTTTTTTTTACATGGCCTAATTGAATCAACAGTTTCAACAACTTTGAACTAATTTCAATGTGGTTAGCTGTCCCTATCCTAATTCTTTACTTTGTGACAGCGAGGCTCAGAACCTTATGACCTCTAGAGCCCTGGAGGATATAAATATATACAAATTGCAGCATATTAACATAAAGCGTCTGCTAATGCATGTACAAACTTCATATATTCGATCATTACGGTATTTTATAAAAACTAATCGCGATGTTTAATATACTAGAGCCTCGGTGTTCGACCTTTTTAAGCTGGTGGTCAGTTCCAATTTTTTGAGACCAGCGGCGGGCCGACATATATTGTGTACCTTACACGTTTTTCAATGTCAGCCCCAACTATTTTTTTTTGTAACAGTGGATTTGAAATAGAAGGGCCGGAGTTTCACATATAGGCCCTATGGGGAAAATACCACCTCAGCCCCAACATGGTTGGGGCTAAGGTAAGAAAGTTTGATTATGGCACCTCCCGATTGTCGGAAATTGCATCCTCAGACTTAAATTTGAATATAATTTTCTATTCCTCTCCATTTTATTTCATTTTGAAAAAAAGCTTGCACTCCAGGTTCTCCTACCCCTACCCCTAGCACAAACAAGTCATGTACAAAAAAGTTTTAAAAAAATGCCAGCGCTACGAATTCCCGACGAGTAGTGTGATACCCCCAAAAAGGGCCCGCATTTACCTCAGCCCCATGATTGGCAAATGGTTAGACATCGCATCATATCAGAGCCCCTCCCCTACTTAATCCATTATCCCCATCCGTTCCCCTCCCTATGTCAATACTCTACGCCACTAGATACGGTACAGTCAGAAAAAACAATGCTAGGTCGAGATGGTGTTACTATTAACAAAAAACTTTTTCTAAAAAGCGGCCGGAAAATTGATTTTTAGTAATGTTGCACGGGCTGGATCAACATTTTTGGCGGGCTGGAGTTGGCTGGGGGTTGAATACTGGGGTATTAGAGGGTAAGCGACCGAACGGCGAGCGCACCCTCTAGTTAAATAAATTAGAGTCTATTTGCACGTGCCCATTTGTTTCTCCACGAAGCTGGAGTGAAAATTACAAAGAATTATTAAAACAATAAAACTGGCACACGATTTTCAAATTCACACACTTACCATCGGTTCGCTTTTGATGTTGATGTGCTCCCCGCTACTTGGCAGAATAGATCGTCTTTTGATGTCGCCATGGGAGAACAGGTAGTAGTCTGTCAAAGACCCAATCTAGTGTTTAAAATGCACAATATAATAACATCAATTAATATCTTCATTTATGAACAGAATGCCTGCCAGCGCATTAACATACTGCGACAAAATAGTAATTGAGCTATAAACTGACAATTTTTAAATGGCATACTTTTTATACTTCGGCCTATAGCCCATACGTAATTTATTAGATTTCAATTTAAAATAAGAAAAAAAAATCCTTGCCAATCAACAATCTTATAAATTCCGATTTTTCTGCCTGTTTTTGCAACGTCTTCCTTATTTATTCAGCTATCAGTGGCGGATCCAGGAATTTGAAATAGAGTGGGAACAGATAGGGACTTTCACAGATGGTGGGTTGTTGGGGTTGAGTTAAGAAAATTTTGATTATGGCACCTCTAGTTGGCCGGAAATGGCATTCTTAGACTTAAATTTGGATATAATTTTCTTTTTTTCTGAATTTTTTTTAAATTTTGAAAAATTTAGGGGGGGCCCGGGCCGGCTGGGCCTCCTTGAATCCGTCTATAGCTATAATGTCACGTTATTAACCCCTATCTTTTTACAAAATTTTGCCATCATGTTTACATAAGCTTCCATAAAAAAATAAGTGTTTAAACATGAACTACACTGGGAATTATTAACTAAACGAACAATTTGCGATATACACAAACATACTTCAGACCTATGTAGTAATAATAATTATTGTAACAAAACGGAAGTTCGCACGAATATGAAGAATGAGAATCAAACACAATGTGACATAATAATACAGTTCACCTTCCAATTTCGAGACCCCTTTCGAGACCACTTGTTTTTTGTTACATCAGGCCCGAATTCGCAAAACGGTGCGAAATCGCTGAAAATCATGATCAGCCCTTATGAATTTTTTTAACCTATTTCGTTAATATTGGAAAGATTTTTCTCGCTGTTTTTGCAACGTATTCCTTATTTATTCAGCTATAATGTCATGTTATTAACCCTATCTGTTTACAAAATTTCGCGATCATTTTTACAAAAATAACTCATTTCTGAACACGGGGCCGATTATAACGGTTATTTCTTTACGTAAAAATAAAATATTCAAACAGTCTGTTAAGCCTAAAAATCAATTTGATCGGATAAGAGGTCTCGTCAGAGCGCCCATTAATTTAGAGACGGGTTTAGAGACACTGACTTTTTCTGACCATGGAGGTACAAACATATAGTATACCTCCATAATTTGACACACATTGACTATGATAAAGAATCAGTTCGAGATTCCCGGTAACTCGAGCTAGGGTAATGTGACAGAAAAAAATGCATTTTCTCAGTCAATTGCTTAGAAAACACCGAGTTTTTTTTCCATGGAAAGTAAGAACATTTAATTCTGCATTGTAATGTTTAAATATATTTAAGATTAAAGGTTTTTTTTTATTACGACTAATATAATATGTTTCGAAATATTAGACTGGATGGCCTCGACCATTATATTTTTTGGTAGGCCTATGTGCTAGGCTTCCTAACTTCGTGGTTAAATCTGATTGCATCAAGTTTGTTTTAAATTCACCTTGACATGAGTTTGCAATGTATAATACATTTTAAAGAAAAATGTAATTTGTATAAGAATAATTATTTAATTTATTTCTGATTAGGACTATTATGCACTGTCTTTCATTCACCTCTAAGTTAAGTGGTACGGTCAAAATGTTTCCATTTGTAGTGATCGAGTGATAACCACTGTACGCGCTAAAATTAAATAGGTTAAAAAACAAAACAAATTGTAAATGTTGTTAGAAGTTATTACCAACTAACAGTTTCCCATCTTTACACAAGAATTAACCTTGTAATTGAAGGCCACTTTACATTTTCAGGTCTCGAATTGGAGGATTAAACCGTTTGGGGCTAGTTCTAGATAGCGCAAATAAACAAGGCTCCAAAATCAAATCATGATTAATTAAAAAGTTAAATAATACAGATATTACTAAGATATGACTATGGTGTCTGATAGTCATTGTTGTTCAGCATCTTGTTTCAGGACGATTACATAATCATACTAAACTGACGGTATAACAATTCAGGAACTTATCGTAAACAGTTTTCTTACATACGCAAATACTAGGCCTACATAAGCGATGTTGATGGTAAAATATTTCTGTGCCCTCATTACGTTTATTACAGAAGTTTATTGTAAATGGATGAAGCTTCTGCACCAAACAAAAATAATTTGAACATTGTTATCAGTCAATAGGCCCTACCAAGGAGGTTAAAAACAAACCCTTGGCCATACATATGATGACCTACATAGCTATCATTATAAACAAGGAGGTTAAATATAACCTCCTTGTTACAAACTACTTCATCATAAACATTTATCATCATAAACATCTTCCTTTATTTAATGTGCAGAACACCTGTTGAGTATAGTCGCACGTGACCGGTTTATCAAAATGATGTGATATTTAGACCGATTAATTAACTAATCATTAGCATTCATCATTATACTTATTGAAGATCACCATATACATAATTATTCTTATCCTTATCTTTATCGTCATTAAATAATACAGATATTACTAAGATATGACTATGGTGGCTGATAGTCATTGTTGTTCAGCATCTTGTTTCAGGACGATTACATAATCATACTAAATTGACGGTATAACAATTCAGGAACTTATCGTAAACAGTTTTCTTACATACGAATAAGCGATGTTGATGGTAAAATATTTCTGTGCCCTCATTACGTTTATTACAAAAGTTTATTGTAAATAGATGAAGCTTCTGCACCAAACAAAAATAATTTGAACATTGTTATCAGTCAATAGGCCCTACAAATGATGACCTACACAGCTATCATTATAAACTACCGGTACTTCATCATAAACATTTATCATCATAAACATCTTCCTTTATTTAATGTGCAGAACACCTGTTGAGTATAGTCGCACGTGACCGGTTTATCAAAATATATTTTAAACAATTAATTAACTAATCATTAGCATTCATCATTATACTTATTGAAGATCACCATAATTATACATAATTATTCTTATCCTTATCTTTATCATCATCATCATCATCATTACTATCAATAATTATAAGGTAGACTTACCTGTCCATGGTAAGTGTACCCATACTTGGTTGCCAATTCAGCTGCTTCCACGGAGCTACCGACAACATGAGCTGCATAAAAGCTTGAATAGTGCAAACCATTTGAACACTGGCAAAGAATAATGCAATTAAGTACAAAACTGATTATTCTCAGAGCGACTGTCATGTTTTATTAGATGTCCTGACTCGGCACAGTGTTCAGTTGGGCGATGTTAAATTAAAAGATCGACGTAAAGGCAAGTCCGTACTTAAATAGGAACATTATTTACCAATCAAATGTAGGGTGGCTTGTAAAGGGCACAGGACACAAATTCCACAACCCCATGGTATCATATAATATCAATCATACGTAACCATGTGAGCGACCACATGCACGCCATGTATTCCATACGCTACGAACGCTATTTCAGTGTATTGGTTCATAAGAGGTTATCATCGACTTGTCAAATTGATTGATGGATTCATTAAAAAAACAAAGATGTTATGATGAATACGTGTTAATTAAAGAAGGGATTTGTTGATTGTATAATAAAGTGAATCCCGAAAACATTAAAACAGATAAATGAACAGGCCCTACGTGTTCCAAGAGAGGGAGGACTTAAAAAAAATGACATTGGTACGTCTGCGCGCGCAGTTAAGTAATTCGGCCGATATCGTAGTACGACGTAAAATACCCACAATTACTATTACCACCCTTTGCAAGATGTCGAAAAGAAAATTACATTCAAATTATTAAGTCTGAGAGTGCCATTTCCGGCATTCTAGAGTGACATAATAGTAAATTTTCTTACCTCAGCCCCAACCATGGTGGGGCTGTGGTGAGTTCCTGGATCCGCCACTTTTTACAATCCGGTTTTAGGTTGGTGTTATCACCTTAATGTTATACCAAAAAACATACACTATTTCAGGATACATGACAAGTGTTACAAAGTAGAAATTCACAGCTGCTTTCACATCCGGCCTTGTTTCTGTGCTGCAGAGCATTAAGTTGAATGTCAGTTAAAAAGACTACAAGATATATATTAAGCTTAAGTAGTTTTTTTACAACTTAGGACCTTTGGCATTTACTCCATTAGAATATCGTTCTCAATGGCGGATACAGGAATTTTTAAATAGAGGGGCCCCAGGGAGTTTTACGGATGGATGGTCTACTCTAGACCAACTCGGCCCAATCTATTGTGGACATTGGTTATGGCACCTCTGAAATGAATATACTGTAATTTTCTTTTGACTCCGTTGGTTTTTTTTGTTTTTTTTTGTGATAATTTTGAAATATTTATGGAGCCCGCAGACCCAAGACGGCTGCCCCCTCCTGAATCTCCCATTGGTTCTCTATTAGCTAATATGTGTGATTATTAAGTTACACTTGCTTGTTTGGTCCTTGATGAAAATTAATTTGGATAAGCACATCTTTATTTTTGCTCCTGAATACTGCTCCTTCAGGCAAATACTGGTGCCACCAGACTTCTATTGATATAAACAAGTTTAAGAGACTTTACAAGAACGTCCACTCATAAACAAGATACACACGTATATATTGATTTATTTACAATACATTAGAATGGTATGTGCTACGTTTGGAACAATATATTTGTTTTTTAATACAGCGTATTCAAATTTTATTTCATATTCAATTCAAATAATAAAGCCATGTTAGATTTAGATACTCCTTGTAGGTAAACGTCCTTTTTCCATAAATAGATCAATAACTCTGTATATAGCAAAGTTATAGAAAAATATACTATATGAGTAGGTCTATCAATATATCACTGTCACCTCAATCTATCAAGACATGTAAAACAACAAATTTTAATTTAAAAAAAAAAAGAATTGTTCTTCATTATATATCTGTTCCTTGTTTTTGCTTTGTATTTAAGAAAGTTTAGTGATTTTAATTCCTGAATAAAATGAAATGTATTCTTTCTATTCTAATACTATATCCAATATTTTAAACAACAAATATAGCATTAACATAAATATATAGTTAATCGACATGAATGCTGCTGTTTACCTGCATATTATAATTGGAATGAAATGCTTTATATAACTGATGCTTATTTGTTAATAATAGCTATTATTATTTACCTGATCCAGCTAGGCCATCATATACCACCATTACTATGCTCAGTGACATGCAAAGGAGAGTTCCCCATTATCAATTAATAACACTAGTACCTACACATTATCTGATTCTTGATCATGTAGTGCCCCTCTCTTTCCCATTGCATCACCCTATGATAATACACATAAATATTCCTTCAACAATGTTCTCATTAATAGCCTTGATGAGACTCGCATAAAATGCTGCTTATATAAATCACCACAATTTAGATAAAACCTATCTACCTTATTGTCTCACAATTAATTACTGTAGGGTCTTATTATTATAAGATAAATTCTATTAGATATAAATATATACACATGGTTTTAAACATGGTACGGAGAAACAGTGATACTCTATAAAAAGATGAACTTTTGAGGAAAATATATTGTGCCAGTTCAAAAGATACTCTTACTTTATTTTTTTGCTCTAACAACTGAGCTGAATGACCCTACTGGCAGATACGCTAGAGTTGGCCTTTTAATATACTTGCTATACTAATATACATCTGAATAAATGTTAGCAGAAAACAGAAAAATAAATTTAATTCCTTTTGGAACTAAAGTTAATTGTACTTGGAAACAATAAGTTAGCATACAAATTTGTGAAATGGCAATGATAATATATGACACAATTCATATGAAACCTGAATTGTAATAACCCTGAGCTCGATACAATAGATTCCATAATTGCATTGTGCTGAATTTTTATTTTCTTCCAATGGTTTGGGTACACTCTAAGTAGGGCCTTGGCTAACATACTGTATTAGATTTCTAAGCTACAATCAGTTATTAAACTTCACACAAAAATACATAATTTGACACAAAATAATATAAAAATAATAAGTAAAGATATAATACAGTAGTTAAATGGTTTTGAATTTATAAAGCGCACAATACAAAAAGTCTCCATGCACTGTAAAAACAAGTGTAGAGACGTTTGGAAATATGAAAGATTAAATTTCCAAGCCAAGCCAGCACCCAAACCGCATTAATATTAGGATACGCCCCTGTCGCTGGACACTAAAAAACTTCAGTGACTTCATTAGATAATAACAATTGGATGTTTATACTGCTTAAGCAGTGTAATGGTCACATGGACCAGTGTAATGGTCACATGGACCAACCATCAATTGAGCAACAGAATCCATCTATTAATTTGCTGAATTGGTACAGAGCATACAGTAATAGAGTACTACAGTGTTATGTCAAAATACCATGTGATACTACTCCGTTCCTATCGTTGCAAAATACATTACACCGGATGCCATTTTCTCCACTGAAAAACAATTGATCCCAATTTCTAACATAATTATTAATGTTGTATCTTAGTTTTTCTTTGTAAATTTTAATTGATGATTAAATGTGTGTTCGATAACTAATATAATGCGAGCTTTTGTGTTTTTAGTACATTTTGATGGTAAAATATTAGATTTCAAAATGCCTATTCCAGAAAGCCTATGAAGTCATTCAGGCGTAACGAACGGTAACCAACGTCTGTTGACAGCAGAGAGAGCCACCTGGCGTTGTGACGACACAAATGTGGTACCCTATTGAGCTAAAGATATTGGTAATTACTACTAACAACAAACTGTGCGAAGCATGCAGCATCATGTACCACATTTTATAAACAAAACACAACTGAGAAATACCATGTGATACAAAGTTTACGCATGGGCAGATGACGTATGCCTTTCTACAGTTACATTTCCAGAAAAAAACAGTATTACAAATTCAGGAAAAGTTGTTTTTACAGCACAGATTAATTTCACAAGTTTTTATTCTAAAATCATAACACTGCATAGGGTATCATTCTTTCTATTCCAGGAAGCCTATGAAGTCGTTCAGGTGTAATGAACGGTAACCAATGTTTGGTTGGCAACAGAGGGCGCAACCTGGTGTTGTGACGACACGACTGTGGTACTCTATACATTCTCACTGAAGAAAAGTACACATTGAGTATGCACTCTGTCCACACTATAAATTTTGTGATTTGCACATACAGTATATGGATGTGATGACATCGTAATGCCATATATGGGCAATTCAGATACTATGTGAAAAGAGTATAACATCAGCTTCTGTGAGCCACCCCTTAATTATTTGTTTAGCTATCTAGTGTAGAATGCATACTGTACACACAATAAATGCACTTGTAATTAACTGTTGATCAATGATTCTTGCTTCTATGGTTTGGAGAGGACCGTTTCCTTTTAGGACGAACACTTCTATCTTTTGGAGACGTATTCTTTGATATTCTAGAAGGGCTGGTGCATAGAAATGGCTGCATGGGTATTTCTATATGGAGGGGTTGAGACACGTCAGATCGATAACAGGTGGAGTCGAACAGTGTTGTGTGACGTGTAGCATACTTCTGCTTTAAACGTTCATTTAGTTTCCTGTTCACTTTAGATAATGCGGTACAGTTGCAATCTTTGGGATGAATATCAGCACCAGATCCTGATAAACAACAGTTGTCAGATGATCTTGGGGGTGCATTCTGAATGCGAATCTGCTCAATTCTCGGTGAAAGACAAGCATCAAGTGTTTTTTCGCGATTGACTACGCTACCGCCATTGGTATTACTCCAGTTGCTTTTGTGTTTCTGCCGCACACTTTCTTCTCCTGTCCTTTGTTTATTATTTTTTAAATCTACAACAAATGCCTTTTCGGTTTGCTCGCCAACTATCTGTTCATTGCCCTTATTTTTCATAGAATTTTCTAGAACCCACTTTCTAGACCTATTCTCCACTCTGTTACCTTCCAGACTAACCTCTCGTTTGTTTTCTGTTAGTAATTCTGTATGATATGTACCAGTCATATCAACTATTTGTCCTGACCTGACTTCTTGTATATGTTTTTCGATTAGCTGATTATTTTCTTCTTTCTCTTTATTACTTTTTTCTTTTACATACAAACATTCGTTTTTACTGTATTTACCTTCCTCGTTATTGCTCCTGTCACTGTCAGAATCGGAATTGTTATTGTATATTATGTGTGTCTGACTCTGTAAACCAGTCTCAGGTTTTTCCATTCTTCTGTTTTCAAACAATTTAAGTCGAGCAGCTTTTCTTTCTTCATCTGTTTGATAATTCTTCTCTATTATTTCTTCTGGGACTCTGACCTCCGTGTTGATTTCAATATCTCCTTTTTCATCATCATGTTTTTGTACCTCACACTGAATCTTCATAGGCTCGGCTAGATTATCACCATTTTCAATTTTGGTTTCTATCTCCTGGTCATTACTCCATTCCATTTCATCATCGGTTTTTGCAAGTTCATCACATTCCTTATTACTAGATTCACTCTTCTCCGACAAGTCCTCCTTCTCACTCATGACATCCTCATCTTCTTCAAATTCATCCCGGCATAACTCATCAATATCTTTTTCAAAATCGCTGAACCTTTCCTGCATGTCAACCTCAGACTTCAACAGCCTAGCATTACTTGACTTCTGCAGTTTCAATTGAAATGCACTATCAACATCATGTTCGTCGCTTGTCAACTCCTTGCTATTCTTACTTATATTTTCTGTCAGGATCACTTTTCTCAAAGTCATTGGTGAGAGACTTATCACTTCGTCTTCAATTCTAAATAGTTTTTCTGATAACTTTTCATCTTGAGGGTCTGAGAACACTTTTAAGTAGGGATGTGCTAATGCTTCTTTGGCAGAGAATCTGCTATAAGGGCTGAAGGCTAGCAATCTCTGCAACAGATGCAAAACTGAAAAAATAAAGAACATAACATTATCAGTTATTTCAAAATATAACAATTATGAAATGTTACACCAACTGTGCAGCACCATTTCAAAAATGTAACAGATGCCTTGATCCAGCCTAACTTTCATATGATTTATTTATTTATTAATTTTTTTTTGGCACAAAAAACACATACACAAAAGATTGTCAATAGTGAATATATCACTGTCCTACTTGTAAGTGACAATCCCTTACACAATACAAACATACACACACGATGCTTTACACAAACTAAATCTTAGTATGAGGTTTAGGGAGTGGAAATTTTTTGGTGGTGAGAAATATCCTGCAACACTGACAAGAATTAAACCCAGGACCATGGGATTAGAAGGCAAGCATCTTAAACACCAAGCTATTCAACTCCACTCCGAGTGTCAGTTATTCTAGGAGCCGAGAGATCAGACTCTAATCACAAACCTACACTAACCAAGTGTGAGCCAGGGTCGTCAGTGCAAGATGCAGGAACATTTCATCCAACCACTCAGCTTTTATTACAAACAGTATGTTTAATAATTTCTATGTGATTCCTGTCTCTTA